TAAATGAGTAGTTGATGTAAATGAGGTAGGGCGACGGTGCTTTAAAATCCCTCTGAAAGCTTCCAAAAGATCATGTTCTAGCATTGTTGTTGTTAGTCGCGAAGTCGTGTCCGACCCATCGCAACCCCATGGACAGCATTACCTCTGTTCTTTTACAAATCCGCCCTTCAGGGTTCTCTGAATGCCATCTCCCGCAATACAGCCCTTCAGACATCCAAACATTACTTGCCACTTCTTGCATCTTGTCTCCCATCTGTAATCTGGACTGATTCTGCTTTACTAAAAGTATGACAACCTTAAATAAAATTTCTAGGCATTTTTCTGCACATTTTCCCAAATGCACACATATTTGCACACAATTTTGCCTGTGTGCATTCTGGCAAGTGTTTTTTCTAACACAGACCAGTTTAACTTTCCTTTCAGTAATATACACAATTGTGTGAGCACTTTCCCCCTAATATACATTCTTTATGCGTTTTTGGATTGGAGAACCCATGACGAACTTCAGAGAAGGGTGGATTTCAAAGGGTAACTTTTGGTTCACGTATTGCAAATGTGGGCAGCATGTGGCCCATGGTCACATGCAGCTCCCCCCCCCCCCGGGTGTGACCTCTGCCTCACTAAAAAATATGAATGCCTCCGCAGGCAAAATGTATCCAAGCTGCTACAGAGCATCAAAAAGGTCAAAATTAGCTTGTTTATCTGATCACTGTTTTGTCGCTTTTGAAACTTCAGCAGCTACAGGTGCAATATTCTTATTCTGCCCGTTGCTTTTGACACTTGCAAAAGAGTGGCGTGATCCAGGAGGCCATGGGGCACAAATAATCCTGGACCTCCCAAAGTTGCCCACCCCGGTGCATTGGTTTCAATGTGCAAAATTAGCTGACTTTCCATACAGATGCAATGAACAATTTCCCCCACCACCGGCTTAAGACTAGTGAGCTGGAGATGCTGTCCAGGCAGAAGCAGGCCTAGCAGGTGGTTCCAAGAAAACAAATACCTGTGGATATATTCCTTGACAAAAGATTTAGGAAGAACTCTCTTAGACCATGGCATTGGCAATGAAGATCAGAAAAGCAGGCTGCTCACCCACAAATAATAACTCTGTGAAGCTTCTCTTGGCGGCTACAGCTGCCACGCAGTGCTGCAGCCTAGGATGCAAATGACTGCTGCCCGCTTGCTGCAGCCCTGTGGTACAACTTGTTGTGTTCTGACGTTTAGCATGCCTTATCAAGCTATCCTATTAAGGAACAGAGGACAGAAGATGGAGGCATATGAATCAAGAGATGATGAATATAGGACTGGGTCATGAGGACACAGCAGTTCTGAGATTCCCATGCATTTGTGGAGGATGAAGAGCTTTGTCCAGCCTCGTGATGTATGTTGTCCCCACTCAAAGCCACCAGCTTCTGCTGGGAGGTACAGGGAAGAACACAACATGACGATGTCTGGAAGACACAACGTTAGGCAAGGCTTGCTGATGCAGTGTAAAATGTTGACGTATCAGCTAAAAACACTAAAGAACCATTTCTTATATCTCCATATGAAATCACCTTGGAATCCAAACTCTGTCTAACCCAAGTTAGATTGATCACCATATCCTGGGTGGTACATATGTCTGCTAAACCAGTAAGTGTGAGAGCAGGGAAAGATTGGTTTCTTAATATTTATCATGATTTCAGCCTATGCCCATTTCACTGAGGCTTCAATGAACACATCTGTGAGAACCTCAAGGGATTTTGCAGAAAGAGAAATAATAATTATTCTGAGATAATTAAGAAAGGACTGCTCATATAGTGCTACATTAATTGTATCTAGTATTAGTCTAACAAGTCTCATTAATTCCAAAGCATCTACTTTAAGTAGGACTAATATTGGCTATTACCCTTTAAGTTCTCATATGGTTTCAATATATGATATTGTGGGACAAAACTTCAAATCAAACCCCAGAAATTTGGATCCCAGTCATTACATCTAATCCTGACTTTTAGCTATCTGCCTTGCCTTGACATTTCCAATGCAAACTTTCCTGTCCTGAGGGTCTAACTTCTCTCCTCAAGGAACTGGCTAAATTGATCTAATATTTTCAAAAGCATAACAGAACATTACATAGGCCAGTGTTTCCTGGCATAGGATAATAGGTCAGGGTTAGATAATTATAGCATGTCATGGAACTAACCTGCCAGAGGAAAGAAACATTGTGATCTACACAATGAATATTTGGGATGCTAGTGGCCAAAAAATTAAATAAATTAATGATTAATACACTTTATAGGGTAACCACATTCAGTAGAATAGAAGTAGAGTTGGGTCTATAAGGCCATCGAGTCCAACCCCTGCTCCGCTTCCACATGTGGTCACCTATCCTGCTGCAGGTCTGCGCCTTTTCACTCTGGCAAAGGGGGCTTGATAGGCTAGCTTGATGTACTCCTGCCTGCCTGCATAACTATACAAGAGCTAGTTTTTGTGATCCAGCAAAGCATATCCCACCCGCCCCCCTGGGCATCATTTTGTTCTGGTTCTTTTATTTAGTAAGGCAAACATAGTAAAAAGTTTGATCTTGATTTGTGAACTCTCCAGCCTACTGTCCTTCTCCAGACACTTTGGCAACTTGCAAAATTTTGTATAAAAATGGGCTTGAAAAGAGGAGAGGAAAAGTGGAGGAAACTAGCACAGGAGTATATAGGAGACACCTTGTTCCAAATAGACTGAAACCAATTGGGACAAGTTAGATGGCTACAAATTGCAAGAAGCACTGGCCTGCTCCTGAAACAGGATCCTCGAGTCAAGGTCTCCCCCTCTTCCACGTAATGTAGAGTATCGCTTACCCCATGTCACCAGAGTACGTGATTCCTAGTCCCATTCTAAGTCACTGGTTTCCACTGAAGGGGTCAATAAAACACACAGCATGGTGCCAAATGTCATGGGGCAACAGTATGACATGTGATGGGGAAATTAGCGGAAAAGGAAACTAAGGATGCTAGTTTTGCCCCAGCGTCAGTAATGTGTAGTTTCTCCTTTGCTGTGACTGATACAATTACCTTTAATTTCACTGAGATTTTTTTTCAACTGTTCTTGGTCAGGCCCAAAGATTCCAGGACATCAAGACATCTGGGCTATAAGGGGGAGAATTCTCTTTCAATTTGCAACCTTCAGCACAGACAGGATAACACAGTGTTAGTTATGTGGACCAACATAAATTCACAGAAGGGACAACTGTCCTGTTTATGTGCTGTGTAGAAAGACTGTGTCCTCAGAAAAGGGGGTCCTTCAGAAAGTGCACAAAGTTTGATGATTTCTTTGCTCCTCACAGAAACCTCTGCGTTCCCCCTATTCTTTTCCATGCTACCAAGTGATCATTAAGAACTGAATGATGTACCATTTCTACACAGGAGTCAAAACTGTTCTCTGTGAAAAATGATGTTTTGAATTTCTGGAGCTAGTTAATGTTTTCACTGTAAAAGGTCTGGTATGGAAGGAGAAGAAAAAAATATTGGGACAACGAAGAAGGTATCTTTAACTAAGCACTGAGCTAATAAAATTTGCTTGTGGGCTGAGAGTCAAAAAAAGAAAGAAGGATGCTTTAGCACATGTGAGATGTGTCATTAAGCAATTTATTAATGACAGCAGTCTCTTTGTTCTGCAGCCATCAGTGAAGATACAGCAAAGGAAATGGAGGAGCTGCAGTTATGCATTTGTAATACACAAAGTCCTTGTTTTTCCCACCAGGCACTGCAGAATAGCAATTGTCCATTCACAGCACATAGCAGATAGTCTGCATTTTGGAGCTAATATTTTGCCATTCCTAAGCTGGTACTTATGAATCAAGTGCAGTCAATTGTTTTTCCCCGCTTAACCCCTTCAAAGTGCATTGTCAGGGTGACCCATCCCATGGTTCTGTATTTGCCACCTGTTTATAAAGGCGAAATGAGTTTGAAATTAAAAACAAGAATTTAAACAAAATATGAAGGAACATTCCCCCCACAACATAATATACACACAACAACCTGGTAGAGCTCCCGGTCCAATTAAACCTTGCAGTCTCTTAGTCAGACAATACACTGCTCTGCCAACCCTTAAAATAAAGTCCACCATTGGCTGTTGTGACTGGCCTTCACACACGCATCTCTTGCAAAGTGAGTAGCCTCTCCAAATGCATTTTGCAGCTACACTTCTGAAAACAATGTGAGCTCTGTTGTGATCCATGGCTCGCGTTTCCTGCGGCACATGCAGGCCACTTTAACACTGCAACAGTCGACCAAGTTAAGGCTTCGGGATGCTGCTTGATGACCAGTTGAACGTATATGTCACCAAACAGTCCTAAGACATGCTTACTCTGTTTTCTAGAGAAATATCCACTAACTTTCCTCCAGCTAGCTTGTATAAGCTGTCAACAAAGAAATAAAATACGAACAAAACAAATTTCCCCCTTGGTGAAGTTAAAGAACTGCACAAGCATCTGTAACTTTGTATTTTGAAAGCCAAACCAGAAAAAGCACTCAGATGCTAAACATCTGTCTCATATATTCCTAAGAAATTATTGGGATCTATATTGTCATTCATTCCCTCACCCCCACCTCAAACTACCAGTTCGAAAGCTGTGTCCCTAGCTAGCTTTTCTCATGCATATGGTCTCTTCCTCAAGACACTGAAATGCTCATAAACTGAAGAAAGCTTGTAGGGAAAAATATCCCCTCAGTCTCCTAATGGTCATTAAATGTTTCTGTACCAGAACCCTTTCCTTATCATTTGCACTCAGTACAGTTAGAATCTATGCAAGTTTCCTGGTTTCCTTGGTTCAGGATAATATCAACAACAATGAAAAGGCAGGTAGGAATCCCCCTTTTAATTTAAAAAATCAGTTTCGACAGTACACGCCATTCATCTTTTCTTCAAATAGAACTTCCCTCACTGACTTTGGCAAATGCAGTTCCCCCTTAAATAAAAACAACAGTCACCACAACATAAGCTCACCGCCTCTTCGGATTTGCTGTACATACCTCAACCATTAAACAAGACATTTAACCATAGTGGCAATTCTGTGACCTTTGAATGCTGTGAAATCTGTAAGCAGTGCGGCTTGTTCATGAAGACTTGTACTGCAGAATCCAGAAACTGCATCCAGGATTAGGCAAAGAATTAAGTGGGACGCACGCGGGGACAGAGAAAGGTGCGCGTGAACATGGATGAGGCTGGGAAGGGGAGAAATGCCCGAGCGAGAGATAACGTGAAGAAGCGCGCAGGGGGAGAGAGAGGGAGAGCGGGAGACTCCAACAAGAGCCTGCACTTTTCTGCCAGGCAAGTGCTGGGATAGTGCTCAGCACCGCTTGCTGCAGTCTCTGACTGGCGGAGTGCTAAGCAGCAAGTAGAAGGCCGTGCCTGGCTGGGAGGCGCTGTCAACTGCCCCGGGCGCAGCAGAGGCGGCCAATCAGCGCGCGCCCTGCGAGCTCGCTGGAGTGAAGCCTTCTCTGTTTATGTTTCCTCGTTGCACGAGTGACGTCAAAGGGGTTTAGTTTTTCCTCTGCATGTGCTATTAATTTTAAAGGACTACTATGGGAAGAATGTGGCTGTGATTTCGGCAAGCTACTATCCTACTCTAGAAAGAAACCAGAGCTGTGGGGGGAGGGGGCTTGAGGTGCTGTTGTTATTTTTCTTTTAATCTGAGTTGGATCTTCCTTGGAAATGTTTTTGTAGTCAGGAGTTGCCGGAGAAATCACACGTAAATAAAAAGGGAAAGGGGCGATGTATAGGAATGTGTCAGGAAATGTGTAAACCTGCACATTGCACAGGCTTGATGGGATTAATCTAAAGGGCATTTTAGTAAGGTAAATCGGACTCTACCCTCTTTCTGTGTACCATTCTGGATCTAATGTATCCAACGTATACATGGAACTGTTCATAGATCACCCGTAGAACATAAGGAGGGTCCATCTGGTCCAGTGACCAAACAGCTGCCTCAGTTCCCTCCTGCTCAAGTTCCCCAGCAACTGGTGTACATGTGCTTCTGGTTATTAGAGGTGACATTTAACCATCACGACCAGTAGCCCTTAGTAGCCTTCTCCCCCATGCATCTGGTTTCTAATCTCCTTTTAAAACCATCCAGTTTGGTGCCCATTCAATTCCTGTGGCAGGGAATTCCACAGTTTTACTATGAGTTGTTTGGAGAAGTACTTCATTTTATATGTTCTGAATTTCCCACCAATCACCTTTATGGGATGAGCCCAAGTTCTAGTTTGATGGCAGAAGGAGAAAAGGTCTCTCTGTGCGCATTTTTTCACACCATGCACAATTGTGTACACCACTATCATATCTCCTCTTACTCTTTTCTAAGCTAAACACTCCCAGATACTTTAAAGTTTCCTTTCTGCCCCCTTTTCAATTTTGCACGAACCATTTTTTAGGTGTGGTGACCAGAGCTGTCCACAGGCTTCCAAGTGAAGTTGCACCAAATATTGACAGTTTTCTTTCCGTTCCTTTTCCTAACATGGGATCTGCCTTTTCCACAGCAGCCACACGCTGGCTTGACATTTACATTGAGCTGTCCACCACAAGCCCAAGATCGCTGTCTTGGTTAGTCATTAGTAGTCATTAGTAGCTCATATCCCATCTGCTTATGCTTGAACTTGGGATTTTTTCAACTGAACCACATTTACCATTTTGATGCCATTCTTCCAGTTCGGAGAAATCCTTTTGGACCTCCTCACAATTCCTTTTTATTTCAACCACCCTAAATAATCTGGTGTCATCAGCAAACCTGGCTATTTCACTGTTCACTCCTAATTCCAAACCATTCACAGATAAGTTGAAAAGCATGCGTCTCAATACAAAAACCCTGTGGGACCACACTGTGCATCTCACTGCCCTTCTTATCCCCGGACAGTTTAGTTTGCTCATTCAGAAGGCTTGGCTGTGGGACTTTCTCAGAGGCACATATCAACTTTACCGCTGTCTTTCTGTGAACCTGGATGAACTGTTTTAGCCTCAGCTTTTCTGGGCAGCTAGGGGTGCGATCTTGTGCATATTTAGGTAGGAAAAAAGTCTACCTACTCCCAGCATGCCCCATCAAGCACAGAATTATTTCTGTCTAAACATGCACAAGGTTATGTGTCCTAAGCTGTGTAACTGAATAGGGACCAAAAGAGCTGGGTAGAATACTAGCTTAGGTAATGACAACTTCGCAAGTAGAGGCTGATAGCCCTTCCTGATTTTAAGGCCAATTACTTTATCCCAGGACTTCCAAATATTCACTGCAAGATTGGAGCTCTGATATCACATCATGTTAGCAATGTGGATTTGTGTGTGTGTGAGATCTCAAAAGGAAACTTTCTACATATCTGAAATACAGTGAATTAAAGTGGGAAAACATCACATCCAATCTCTAAAACTGGAATAAGGAGCCGTAAGTGTAACTCTATCCTTATTTATTGCACTACTGTGGCTATTATCACTACACCAGTGTTAGAATACACATATCTTGTCTTCTCATTATAGTGGATATCCCAGAATTTGCTACCAAAGTGGCAGTGACACTATGCAATCACTTTACTCCCCTTCTGGGCATGTTCTATGGATACCCGTGCTCTGTGGAAATTAATAAAGAAAGAGCAAAGATGCTATATGCAGTTGCAACCAGATTGTTATCAGTCAGAGTGCAGTGTTATATTTTAATAAAATACAGTTGCTGGAGCTTGCAGGAAGAAGTAGAACCTCCATTCTACTGAAGGTTGCTCATACCATGCTCATACCATGCACTTTTTCTGTTTTTCATACTGGATTTTTTAAAGGGATTTAAAACTAGGGACATGGCCAAATGCTTTCTTTACAATTGGTCAGACTATGGCTAAGCTGACTTATAAGGGAGTATAGGCAAGAGAAATTGGGGTGGCCTAGTGGTAGTGTTTTGGATTGTGACATCTGTTCTCCACTGAACCATGAAATTCCCTGGGTGACTTTGGGTCAGTTCGTGTCTCTCAACCTATCCTACCTCATAGGGTTGTTGTGAAGATAAATGGGAGGACCAAATAAGTCAGCTTAACCTCCTTGGAAAGGGATAGGTAGGGGGAAGGAAATATTATTTCCAGTTAAAATAACAATTTAAAGCATATTTTATTGGATTCCTCGGGTACTTCAAACTAGATAGCTCCCAATATTACCAGTCAAAAGCCATTGCACAGCTATTCTGACTTCCCATCCTCAGAGGGTTTTCTGAGGGAAGAAGAAATGATGGAAGAAGTGGTGGGGAAGTAAGGGAGGATGACTCATGCAAGACAATGACAATTTCTCAACAACCCCCAACTCCATAACATTCCATTAAAGAAGTAATTACATAATAAAAGCTTTATCTGAGATCACCCAGGATCAGGAGATGGGGTAAGAAGTTTGGGTCATCATCTGTGCAATTTCCTCTGGGTCTCTATAAATTCATTTATCAATTCATATAATTTCTATACTGTCTAATAACATAGATCTCTGGGCAGTTCACAAACATTATGTATATAATTACATATGTTTAGGCACAAATGTACAGAGATAAATCTGTACATATTTTGAAATAATGTAGAATAAAAGAAGTGGGCATGTCGTGAGTGGAGCTGGCTGGTGCCGGAGGTCAGACTAGATGGCCCAGGAGACCCCTTCTGACTCGCTCTGTTTCTATGTTTCTAAGTCATTGTAACTTTAGTGACATATTTCTGCAAACCGCCATGTATAACTTAATACAAACTGGGTACATTTTTCTTGCTCTTAAAAAAAAAAAAAAAAGCTATGTGCCGATAGCAAAAAAATAGTAAGCAGGATGCAGGATTTCCTTTTGTCATGGCCCTTTTAGTGTCTACCCTTTAGGAAAAGTATCATCTCTGCTGAATCTTGCATATTCCAGCTGCACACCCTCAAAACCCATGAACCAAAACAGTAGAAACAGCAGAGATTCACTTGAAAGTGAAAGGGATTCCCCCGTGCTCTGTTCACAGCCCAGTAGATGGTGAAAGCACGCAGGGGACTCTCCCAGCTGGCTGTGATCTCTGATCAAAGGTATCGGTGGAGTGGTGGCTTCATCCACCCTACATGCTCTCCCCAGTGGAGGAAGGCATAAGGCTTTACACAGGCTCCCTCCAAATGGGAGGCAACCTGCACAGAGTGAAGAGGCTTCCCAACTGCATTCTAGGTGGGCATATGTCTCCAAGGACCAAATGTTTCCCTGCTATGAGACGAAGGTGTGGGACGGGCAAAGTGGCTTTCTCGAACATCAGCCTTCTCTGATGGGCAAAGCATTTGCGCAGCAAAGCTGGATGCTGGCAACTGAATTATGTTGGAAGCAGGGCCCCATCCTTGCCCCCTGAAGTCATGGAGGACACAGTGGGTGGGCAGTCATCTGGCCTCCACCCCCATCCTGTTTACCTGTCCCTGCTCTGTGGCTTGATGCTTACCAGACCAGACCCTAATATCTGAGTTTACTCCATGCATATTACATTGCTTTGTCTTTACCCACCTTTGCTGCCATTGCTCCAACTGCCTGAATACGTGCTATGATGTTTTGCTTGTATGTTTTTTGTTTCTGCTTTTATTTTTGTGCAACTCTGCATAACTACCCAGGCTGAATTGTTCTTTCTTGTTTTGTGTTTTGTAGCAGCATGGTTTCCTGTAAGGCATTCATCTATGCATTTCTTTTTATCGGCTGCCCAGTAGACCTGATTGTGGCAAGTGAAACAAACTCATTGACTGTGGCAAGAGGAAGTTGATGATCCAACAGAGCCATTGCTCATAATCCAACAATAGCTTAAAATATTAGAAAGTCTAATATTAAAAATATTAGAAGGATACAAAGTTGGCCCAGTCCCTAAGAATCAACACCACGTTTGAGCTATAGTAATGTCTCATATGTAGACAAAACCCCCACTTTATAGCAGCAAATGATCTCATTAGTTGGTCTGTCTTTCTGAAGCAAAGCTGAACTTTTGAAAGAACTTTGTAAAGTGCCATGATTATACTGAAGGGATGAAGAGGCAAAATCCTAGAGAGCCTGAGAAAACTTTCTTTTAACAAAATCATTTACAGAATGTACCACAAGTGTGGTAAAGTGTGCTCTCTCAAGGGAAACAGTAAAGCTTCTCCACTTGTGAAATACTTTAAGGAAAACTTTCCAGAACAATATTGCTTCCTGAGATTGTAGAATTGATGGTTATGTTTCCAATATAATAAAAATAAATATAATGAAAGAGTTTCAGTTATCTAGTAGCCCAGCCTTCCCCCACCTGCTGTTCTCCAGATGTGTTGAACTGCAACTCCCAGAATTCCCGGCCAGCAAGGCCAGTGGTCAATGGACATGCTACCTGGGAAATACATCCAACACATCTGGGAGCACAAGGGTGGGGAGGCCAGTATCAGTTTTTAAAAAACTGCTTTCAATAAAATCTAAATCTATGAAAGACAGACAGACAGACAGACAGACAGACCGAAAGAGAGAACTCCTTATGAGGAATAAAGAGACACAAAGCACTGGGAATCAATAGTCACCAACATGATGCAATGGAAGCAGTGTTCATAGTATTACTTCAAGGCATATGAGCATTCACCTTGGAGGAATTTGTTTTCTGGCCTCCATTTGTAATTTATAAATCCTAAAACAGAAACCTGGCAGTATCGACCCTGCAGGATTCCCACTTGACCTGCCAGCTTCTTTCCCAACCCCAAGTCTTTCCCCTGAACCCTTCCCAAGCTCACCCAGGCAGGGAACAACTCTTATCTCTGATGAGAGATAAGGGATCTTTCCTGCTCCCTGCTGCTGGATTTAGGCTTTTAAAAACCCTCTATTAGTCCATAATGGAGGCTTCTTAAAAGCCTCACTGCTGTGTTGGGTACATTTTAAGGACATGGACCCTAACCTTGCTGGAGGTGGTGATGGAATGAATAACTACTCTAGTGTAAAAAGAGGATGAGAGACAGACCTTTTAAACACATATTTAAACTAACATCTGTTTTGTTGTGATGGTATACACATTCTTTTTTGATCTGAATTATTATTTCATTTTGGAGATAAAAAATAAATAGAACAAAAAGAATATATATAATAATATAAGAAGATCACTCAAGAAACCAATGCATTCAATAATTATAATTTTGAGTGCATCACCAAATTGCTTGTGAAATATCTGTGGTAAAATAGCTTTAAGTAGGAGCTCAGTATGTGATGGAAGAATAAAAATATATGTTATTCAGCATATAAAAGGGAAGTGTACTATTTTGTGCATATAGGTATATATATTAGAAAAACTATTGGCAACTCTTTCTGGCTGGGATGTGATGAAAAGTTGGACAAAAGTTCGAAGGTTTCAGGAAATAAATGGAGCCTTGTAGGCATTCTATTCACGATGGGTCTAAAGATATATTCCTTCACAAATGAATATCTGCAAAACTATATTCTCTCACAAAAGTATATTCCCTCTTATACACAAGACTACAGGAAATAAACTGCCTATTGTAAAATCTATAAAATTATGCTGCTATGTTACCAAATGGCTGGCATTTAAGCATCTCTTTCCCAAAACACAATAACTGAGTTTGGGCAACATGTTAACATGTCATCCAGACCTAATACTGTATATGGTTTATGTAAATGCCACCATAGTTACTCATGGCTTGTCCTAAGAATAACCCATCATGGCTTAATGTGTCATCCAAACTTGGATGATACAGTGAATCACGGTCAAGTGGCTCAATCACGCCCAGTGTTGTGCAGCTGTGCACACCAACATGTTATCCCTTCTTACCAGCATCCCTTCCCATTGTCTACCCTTAAGAATAGTATAGCATCTGGTCTGAAGGAAATACAAATAGAGAACAGAGTTGGCAGAAATTGCAGCTAAGCAGCAGTGTGGCATCCCAGTCCTTGCTATTTTCTCAGGAACCAAGAACGGAATATGTGAATACAGGAGTAACTCAGGATTCACACTGTGTTTACTTCATTGGGGGTGTATCAGGTAGGCTGTCCATGCTTTCATTTCAGTGGCAGAAAATTTACAATCTTGGGGCAAGAGATGCCAAGAAATGCTAGGAGAGTTCTTGGAGCATGCAATTCCACCTAGGTTATGCCAATGGAGTCCTTTGGAACTTTTGCTGAGCAGCAAACCTGGTTCAAGGGAACTGGGACTCTCCCTTTGTACTTTGTAAATCAGTGGGTTGATGACTAATTTAAATTGCCTGTTATTTTCAGAGCATAAAAGAGAAATGCTTTATCATCCAGACACGCTGGGGACTTTGCCTACCTGCTAGTAGGGAAGGCACTGAGACGACACTTGAGTGCTAGAATGATGGGGGAGAGATTTTCTGGTATGGCCTCCAAAGATTTGGTTCTTAGGCAGGTTGAGACCTCGAGGGAGCTTCTGTAGTTGCACAGAACCAAGAATTTCATCAGGTGAACGTTTCTAGCCACTGTCCTTTTCATGCAATTTTTGAAGAGTCTATTTGAAGTACACAGAGAGGTAGTGGAAGAGGGGAAATTAATCTGGAAAGATTACCACCGAAGCAATGCATGTTCTCAGTCTGTGCCCACAAGTGTGTTCTTAGGCACTCCCAGTGGTACCAGTCAGGAACTCTGCCTCTTCCGCTTGCAATTTTATTTTTTAAGCTCCAATCCCGTTTTTATCCATGTTCAAAGAGCACGTTTGTGTTTTGGAGCTTGTACTCAGCTTTACGCTAAGGTTCCTGGGCCATTGCTTTTCTTTTAGTCTCACAGTTTGCTTTGTGGAAAACGACTCTTTTGTGACTGGCTATGCTGCCTGGCAGCTGTTTTATGAATAAGCAACCTCTTCATAGCAGGCATTTTATGAGAGTTCCCATTACATTATCTCCAATGTTTCCACCAACCTAAAAAGACAGGTGGGGGTGCTCTCTGTGAAGTGGTATACTAAGACGCTACCAGAGGCACCACATTGTAAGAAAGCTTGAAAGTTCGTGGACTCCAATGAGCATGTCTCTGGGTAGCACACACACCTCAGGATGTCGTTCAGCCTAGGAGCGCTGATGTCATCTCCTAGAGCTCCAGAGGAATTGGTAGACATTCCTTGTCCTGGAAAGGGAATGAAGTGATAACGAGGCTTTCAAATTTTACTATTCTTTGTGCCGGATTCATAAATAGGAAGTCAGTGAATGAGGAAAATAATGCACCAGAGGCTGGACTCTTTTTTCTGTGGCGGGACTTTTACTCCACTCTAGCAATCTGAGATGGTAACACTACTTTGCAAGATTGCTTGCACTTCTAATTAAAAGCTGAAGGTTGCATTCCAACTGGCTGAAGACCTTTTGTCACAGCTCAATGTGCTTTACAAGTGGAATGCACACCATCAAAAGCGAGGGCCACTGGCTCAGAGGAGCTTACTCTTAGGTATCTAGGCACAGAATTGCTGTCATGCTGATGGTAAAGAATTCATTATTATGCTATGTGCTGCTGCTTGTTGGTATGTGCCCGTATGGGTACACCCTCTCTTGCTAAGCTCCTGAACTTCTAAATTTAGTACAACACTGTCTCTGTGGGTTGACAGACAGTCTGTGCTGCAATAAACAACTGAAGGTGTTATAGAGATGGGTGAGATTTAGTTTCTTTGATTTGGGTGAGGATTTACCAACATTTGCAAAATCTGCATTTGTATTTGGGAATGAAAGAATTTGAAAGTTTAAACATTCTGAATGTGGGAAAAAGCTAGCTGACAAATGTGTCCATCCCTCAGCAATTAATACGCCCTTTTCTTGTGGTCCATTTTGAGCTAGAGGAATAAATTATTATGTACTTGTGACTGCTCATTTTTTAACAGGTTTTTAGACAACATTCTGACCCTCCAGTTTTCCTTTTCTTTTCTAAGCTTAAACACAATTTTTACTCTTTTACAGGTGTTTCTTGGAGTAGGGTATTATTTCTGAAAGTGAAAGGAACCATTTTCCTACATGTATAATTGCATTATTCTGCTATAGCACAGCACCACCTAGAGGCTAAATATTAGAAAAGCAGGAAAAAGAAAATGCTTTTTGTATCTCAGTTCTGCAATAACATCAAAAGTTGGATACAGAGGATTTAAAGCTTTTTGTAGATGAAATTCTTATCTCCAATCCTCATCTTCATTCTGAAGTAGGAAGGGATCATATAATAATGGTCATATAAATACTGTGTAACAAATAAAGAAATGCACAATTTGCATTTGTGACTAAGAACTAAAATCAAATATCTGATTTAAAAGTGATAACTTAAACGTATCAACCCTTCTGCACACAAGAAAGTAACTTGTGCTGTGTGGGGTAGTGGTTAGAGAGCTGGACTGGGACTCAGGATACCAGGGTTCTAGCACTAGGTGACTTTTGGCCAGTCATGGGCTCTCAGCCCAACCTACCTCATAGCATTGTTGTTGTGAGGTTAAAATGGAATGGAGGAGGACCATGCGAACACCGATTTCCTTGTTAAAAGGAAAAAAGGTGGGGTAAAAATGTAATAATAGAATAAATTGAATAAATAGAAACAAAACAAAAACAAAGTCAGGAAGAGAAGGGGGAACCAAAAGAAAATCTAAATAGGCTTTGAAAGGTTTAAATAGTGAATTAAATGCATCTGTTGACTGCATTTGGGCAGTTCCTGATCTGTAATCCTAAAGGCAGACTGCGATTTATAATCAGGCTAAACATGACCCATATTAAGAAAAAGCTCTTGGCTGGCAAAGAGGAGAAGCTGAATCCTGCAATGTTCAATGATTAACTCAAATACATGAGAAGGATCAGCAGGGATTTGATGGTCAATCTCTTGTGAAAATAGCAAGTCAGCATTACCCACTTGGGAAGAGATGATGGAATCATATTTTTTCAGGTACAATTAGCTTGGCAAGATTTTGAAATTTTTAACCTGCTACCAAGCCTAGCTTAAGGAAACAAACAATAAAAATAGGAAGAATGATTCAGAATTGATACTAGAGGTAGGCATGTTTTTCTAACAAACATTATTCCTAGATCATCATTTGAAATAGCAACATGGCTTGGAAGCCAGTAATTCATTGAAAAGAGCTGCTGTGATTCAAGACCACTGAGTTACCAGCTTTAAAATCTCTTGCTTTCATGTTTCCAGGTGCAGAGATTATTCCCACTTGTGTGAAAAATAGCCTGGTGGTCAATAACCCAGCTGAATAGTACATTTTAAGTAGACTTGAGCCAAACTCTTTCAGAGGATACTTTGCTGAGAGGTGTTCCAAATAGGAACATAAGAATTGCCAGACCATGGGTCCTTCTAGCCCATTGCTGTCAATTCTAAGTCCAAACAGCTCTCCAGGGATTTAGGCAAGAGGGTTTCCAGTATTATCTGAAGAAACCAGGAAATATTCTCCACCATGTTTTGATGATCACCACATTGTTCCAGAATGATGCTAAATCCGAGGACTCTTAAATATTTAATGGCATGGCACCCATTTTCCAATATTCTGATACAGATTTTTTTTAAAGATTATGGGTTAAGTCCAGGTTCCTTGTTGTGCCAGCAGAATGGATATTGCCGATGGAGTCCCAGGAATCCCCTTCCCCTTGTTACTACAACACATGCCTCCAGATTTCCTCCAGAGAACCTTTGTGCATCTGAAGTCTCATTTTGAATCTCACTCTGCCAGTGGTATGTTTTCCATGGATACCATGAAGAAGGCAGATCCAGCAGCACTCCCTAGCAACAGTGATACATGCTCTGGTAACTTCCCCCTTGGATTACTGCAATGTACTCTATGTGGAGCTGCCTTTGAAAATGGTCCGGATACTCCAGCTGGTACAGAACAGAGCTGCCAGGCTGCTGATGGGGACTGGCCGTTACTCTCACATAACGCCAGTTCTCTACCAGCTCCACTGGCTCCCAGTTGAAGTCTGGGCCCAATTCAAGGTGCTGGTTTTAACCTATAAAGCCCTGAATGGCTTGGGACCAGGATACCTGAAGGAGCACCTCTTCCCTTACATGCCCTCACGCCCCTTAAGATCTGTGGGAAAGGAGATAAAAACTACCCAGAGCAGGGCCTTCTCTGCCGTGGCACCCAGGTTATGGAATGCACTCCCTGGAGAGGTGTGCCTGGTGCCGAGTCTATATTCTTTTCAGCACCAAGTTAAAAACTTTTTATTTAATGGCTATTTTAAAAATTAATGTTATCATTAACAGTTGCTTATTTGTTTTGGTTTTTATATAAGTTTACTGTATTTGTTACTGTTTTATTGTTTTAATTCTACGTTGTAAGCCATCCCAAGATGCCGAGGCATGAGGGGACGGCATATAAAAGTTTTAAATAAATAAATAAACATTTGTAATACAACAAAACTTTCCTTTAAATGAATAAGAAATCATTTCCATATATGAAGTGTGGCTTCCTATTGATTTTCCTTAATATACATGGATTGCCTGAAACAAGGAATGCAGGACCTTTGTTCGCATCTTGACCTAACAATGGACATTTTGTCAAGAAGGAACATCTCAGATTCAGTCCACTGATATGAACATGATATATTCATGTGTAAATGTTCTCAGTTATTTATTAACAATTCAGTAATCATGTAGTTTATAACTACTCAGTTACCCCATGCTTAAACCTGAACACAAAGATCAGTAGAATTGAAAGTGGGTGTGATTTTGTGAAGATTACACCTTTGAAGTAGTATTGCATACCTGAGACCCAGTTTCACACATGTTTATTCAGTTAGAAACAAATCTCACTGATGTCAATGGGATACCCAAGGAAATGCACATCTTGTTACAACCCGAAAATTTGCATCTCTCCACTTCGAATCATAGAATAATAGAGTTGGAAGGGGCCATGAAGGCCATTGGATCCAAACCCCTGCTGTTGCAGGACACCACGTTACACCATCCCACTCAGATGACTGTCCAGTTTCTTTCTGAATGCCTCTAGTGTGGGAGAGCCCACCACCTCTCTAGGCAGCTGTTTGACTGTCATATTGCTCTGACAGTGAGGAAGCTTTTCCTGATATCTAGCCTGAATCTGGGTTGCCGCAAGTTGACTTGATTATTCCATGTCCTGCACTCTTGACCTTCCTCTTTGTGACAGCCTTTGAAGTACTTCTAGAGGTATATCATGTCCCCTCTCAGCCTTCTCTTCTCAAGGCTGAATTTTCCAATTCAATTGGTTAGTGTTTCAACCCTGAATCATTTTTGTTACCCTCCTTTGGATCCTCTCTAATTTTTGTACACTTCATTGAACAAGGACTCCAGGCACAGCTGCTAAGATGTTAATCCCAATTTTTGTATTCTACCTTCTAGCTGCCATTTCCTCATCTGCTAAGACAGCTGCCCACAACAGTCAAATAAATGACGCAAAGTAGATCACAGCCACTCTTGCTAATATTGAGTGAGATAACACTACTTGCATGTTTCTAAAATACACCTCACTATACTCTGATGGATAGCTAAACCATTTCCTCAAGCACATCTGTAATGCCGTTCCAGATTTACTAGACAGATACATGGGGACTTGTTCCTAGTGGAGATGGTAGAGATTATTCTTTCCTTCCCTTTGCATGCTGGTGCTCACTGAAGTACATGCCACTGAGAGTGACGTTAATCGCTAATGTCAGTCGCTCATTGTAGTAATCAAGAGTGTTAAAGGTTACATAAATGAATGTCATCCTGAGGAGAGAATATGAAGCAGATGGCCTCCATTCAGGAAAGAAAATGACTGAGAGAAATGGGAGAAGAGGGAGAAATTGAGAAGCAACAGAGAGATTGAATAAGTGCAAGGAAAGGAAAGGTAAAGGAAAGGAAAGGAAAGGAAAGGAAAGGAAAGGAAAGGAAAGGAAAGGAGAGCTTTAAGTCCCTGAGCCTGCTCTTTTAGAAGTACTGTTTCAGGAAACGTATCAGCTATTCAGTTTCCTAATCTTAAATTGGGGGAAATATCTCTAATTGTAGTGAGGAAGAATATATCCTGAGTCATTTGTGTAATATAGTTGTACGACAACCTTTCTATAAACATGGGAAAAGATACCGTTTGTGCTCCACCTTCTCCAAGTGGTAGGATGTCCATGCAGGAAGCCTATAGGATCAACTTCCTCTGCCGGAAAGGGCACTCGAGACTTACAGCAATTTGTAAACAAGGCATCCAGGCTGAATAGGCTCTGAGTGACCAGCCTCACTGCAGGATGAATTCAGGGCACCAGGGCCAGTGGATGGCAGCACTGGGGGCCTGCCAAGGCCCACGGCCCAGTGGGGGGCCAACGGCAGAGCTCCCACGTGACTGGCCCTGCTCCTTTTCCTCCCCACAGTTGCTGCACATTTGCTTGCCCTTTCAAACGTGGAAGCAGTGGCCTCCATCTGTCCCATGCTCTTCTTCTGAGCGGGAATGCAGTGCTGGCCCTGAGGCAGAGGCAAAGTGAGGTGGCAGTAATGCCAATCACAGGAAGAAAGGGGTGAGGGTGCCCTGAGTCCAAGGGGCACTGAGAGAATATCGTTCAAGGGATCTGGAGCCAATGCTGCAGCACACAGATTGTTTTTACACAATACAGGCTGAATGTTATACTAACAGACCTGATTTATTTCACACAGTATGACTTTTTCTGGCCTGTTATGGCACATGAAAGACAATCAATACATATGCTTGTGAGTTCTGGATCCTGATGGAGCCTATCAGATCCCACCTGCCTTTGAAAAGACTGGAAGCTGATGTTGCACAAACAAGTACGATCTGCTTCCAGTCGCCTCTGAATGGTACCTGTGCTATGTGGTGATCTATCAACCTTAAGTTTCTTCCTCCCAAACAGATTTTTAAAAACATTTATGTGGAAATTCATAAGCACTTTTGTTTACATTTCTTCTAATACATGCATATTTTTGCCAAGCCATTTTCCTAAGATTATGCATTTTGAAAGTTATTTTTCCTAGTATATGCATTTTTCAATTGGGAACTCCACTGCAAAAGTTTCAGAACAAACATTTTAACAGATAACTGAGTTTCAGTTTGCCCAGTTATTTGAAAGTGCAGAATGAAATACATTCACAGTAAAATGCAAAGGGAACAAGCTTCTTCCTCATCCCGAATGGCCTGTGTGTCGAGTAAATTATTGTGCAGACAAGCATTTACTAGATCATCTCTATGTTCATACATGTTGCTAAATCTAGAAATAAGTGGTGACTTGCTTGGATTATGCCTTGGTTGGAATCCTGACATCATCAAGGCCAGAGAATAATCCAGGATGCAACATGTTCATACCAGAATGTGTCTCATATTGAACAGATGTTTGCAGCTTACTGCTAATGGCTGATGTAGCACAGAGTGTGCTGAATGCATGCAGTAAAAATGTTGCCCAGAGCATAATCACACCCTGGTGCTATGCCAGGTTATGGAAGGCTGAATTCTGATCTTACCTCCCTGGTTCACGGAAATGTTAGATTTAGGGTGGCTGGTTGCTTTTTATTGGCAGGGCTTGATTGCTTTTAACGGTTGTTGAACATATAGAAATTTAGCAGGTGAAGTTCTTGGATTGCTTCACATGAAGAAAGACTTCACCTGTTAGACCTCTGCATGTCTGATTTCTGTTGAACACCTAAAAACAGGTCCAGTAAAATAATTAACTAGCCTCATTAATCTCCACTCCTGATGAAGAATGAGGGCATCCATCATTTTCCTTCTCTTTATTTTTATTGGCTGCACTTATACAGTCTTAACAGGAACCAGACACAGAAATGCAGAGGGGAAGATTTTCTGGATTAACACTTTTCTGGCTGCTGTCGAAAGCACAAGAGCAAACTCAATGAAAACCCTGTTCACAATTTATCATTGGCATCCTGAGACAATCCTGTAATTCTGTTCCTGGTATACAGGTTCACAATTCTGTCAATTCTGATTTCTCTATTTTTCCAACCTTAAATTCATTTCATTTCCTCATCAATTTGAGATTAATATTTTTAAAAATACAATACAGAGATTCTATCTTAATATACACATATTTGTGCTCATATTTTCCCTAATAGAAGCATATTTGTAAACAATTTCCCAACCAGGATGCCTTTATGGACACTATTTTCAGTAATATGCACACTTTTGTGACCATTTTCTCCTCATTTTTGTATGCAGTTTTTATAACCTGAGAAGTGCAAATATGAAAAGATAATTTTCAGTTTGAATATTGATTTAGGAAGTGCAAATTTGGGAGGTTTATATTAAAATCTTAGCCAACGAAATTCCTCCTTCTTTCCTAAGTATGACTAAACTCTTGTTGCATACTGGGGTCAATACATAAGATGGGAGATCCATAATCATATCTCCTGATTTTTTTTTTTGGAAGAAGTGTGAAAATACAGCTACTTACTGAAGGAGCTGCCAATTTTCTCAGAGAACTAATGGATGGAGAATGTGTTTATAATTATTCTCCATGTTGTTCTTAAATTTATTTTTATTATGTGTTACAAATCTAATCTAAGCCAGATCTTGAAGAGACCCCCCCAAAAAGCCAAAATATTGTAGTTTTTTGTGTGTAAGATTTTAAAGATCTATAACACTTAATTACATATATGCTGTGTATCCCATATAGCAAAACAGACTGTTATTAAAAATAGTTATACACAAACTTCAACAAAAGCAGCCAAAAAATCCATCTGTAAATTATGCCTAAGGAACAACCATTCAAAAATCAGAAGTTTCATCAAGTCCTCAATCCATTGTACTATTGCAGGTGGCCATTTATCCTTCCAGTGTTGTAGTATTAGTCTTTTAACTGTTAAATAGCACAGAAAACACACAAGCGTGGTGTTAAACAGACTGTGAATGTCACTACATATT